TTTTCCAAATAAATAAATAAATAGAAAATGTGATGACTATGATGCCATCAGTAAAATTTGCTACAGTAGCATCAGGCATTTGTAATTGAAGAAGCTCACATAAGTTATTTAACCTCTGCCAACAATATATATCTTGCAGGTTTGTTGCATGATATAAATGAGATCATATAGGTGTTTAATTAATATTATTTTAATTTCAGCCAAATTATGGAAGTCAGAGCCTGCCTAACGAACTTAACTTGTTTTTATTGGTGTTCATGTTTTACTTAACACCATGTAATTGTTTTGATTTGCAAAAAGTACCATATTTCTTAATTTTTTAAAAAAGTAATCCATGCTGAACTTTATAGATCAGAATAAAATGAAATAATAAAGATATGCAGTGAAACTCTGGCATATAAAACCATATACATTATTTAAAGTTATTTTTGGTTGTCTTCTAATGGAACTGTATTTCTAAAAAATCCTGTTCCTCAAATGTATCATATCATTATAGGCAATAATTTCTCTGGACACTAAGAGTCAAGTGATCACTGCACACCCCCCACCCCCACATGCCAGGGTCCCCTTACCCACCTGCCTCCCAACCTTTCTGTTATTTTTAACTTTTAACCAGCAAATAAGATCAAATATAGAAAAGTGTTAACTTATTTGGCCTTGTTGGGGAATGCTTTAGTGACATTTCCAAATATCTTAAGTTTATTCTTTAAGAGTCTCACACTTCACTTTAACTATAACAAAATTTTCTCACTCTTTACTTTTTATAGCTCTTGGGAGGAGAACTTCTATTTATTTATTTATTAAAATATATTTTTATTAAAAAAATATATTTTTATTGATTTCAGAGAGGAAGGGAGAGGGAGTGAGAGACAGAAACATCAGTGATGAGAATCATTGATCGGCTGCCTCCTGCATGCCCCCCCACTAGGGATTGATACCGCAACCTGGGCACGTGCCCTGACTGGGAATTGGACCGTGACCTCCTAGTTCATAGATTGACCCTCAACCACTGAGCCACGACGGCCGGGCCTAATAACATTTTTTATGACCCATGTGCGTTCACTTGTTCTTTCTCACTCTTCTATAATTCAACTGTACAGAAAGTGAGGCTATGAGGGGCCAACTCTCCTAGCACAGTGCTCTTTCCTTTTGCCATGCTGTCTTAAAGCAACATGACTTACTAATCACAGGAAGTCATTGGAATGTGCTCATTAATTATAGTGTCTATTCTGGGAAGATGAATCGTAAGATGACAGAAAAATCATGTAAATATGTTTTATTAACCCAAAATGTTTTAACTAACACTATCCCTTAAGGCACACATTTTCATGTAATTCAAATAACTTTCTCATAATATCAGAGCAGAATAAGAAGAAAGTAATGGGAAAAAGAGTTACATAAAAAGAGATAACTCCTATTTAATAAGTAATGAGTTTAGGGGAGATTTGGGAAAGGTCTATCTATTTTGCTATTTCATATCTCTTCTGTTATTTGCTATCGGGTTAGACGAAACTCACTTAGGGGGCTCATTCATTGCTTTTTGTTTTTCCCCCCCTCTTTTACCTTAATTTTCCAGGTTGTATTTTGTCATTAAGGCTTGTAAATAAATTTCCTCCAGTGAGAACATGTTCTACGATATTGTAAATGACAGATAACTCACTGATACAAACCCGTTCTTTTCCAGTGTCTTTAAACTAAGAGCCAATCCTATCTAATAAAAGAGTAATATGCAAATTGACCATCACTCCAACACACAAGATGGCCACCCCCATGTGGTCAAAGATGGCCGGCAGGGGAGGGCAGTTGGGAGGGACCAGGCCTGCAGGGGAGGGCAGTTGGGAGTGACTGGGCCAGCAGGAGAGGGCAGTTGGGGGCAATTGGGCCAGCAGGGCAGCAGTTAGGCATCGATCTGGCTGGCCCAGGAGTGGTTAGGGGGCAATTAGGCAGGCAGGCAGGCAGGCAAGTGGTGGGGAGCCAGCAGTCCTGGATTGTGAGAGGGATGTCTGACTGCCCAGGCATCCCTCAAGGGGTCCCAGATTGGAGAGGGTGCAGCTGGGTTGAGGGACACCCCCCCCCCCCCGGGCATGAATTTCATGCATCGGGCCTCTAGTCTATATAATAAAAGCCCAGCGACCGTTACGGCTGACTGACCAAAACAACCAGTCACTATGACGTGCACTGACCACCAGGTGGCAGATGCTCAATGCAGGAGCTGCCCCCTGGTGGTTAGTGCGCTCCCACAGTGGGAGTGCCGTTCAGCCAGAAGCTGGGCTCACAGCTGGTGAGCACAGTGGTGGTGGCAGGACCCTCTTCCACCTCCACAGCAGCGCTAAAGCCAAGCAGTAAGGAGTGAGCAGGCAGGAGGTAAGGAGCGAGCAGGCAGGTGGTTAGAAGCAAGGGGTCCCAGATTGCAAGAGGGTGCAGGCTGGGCTGAGGGCCCCACCACCCGCACGACTTTTGTGCATTAGGCCTCTGGTAGTATTATAAATAGAAAAAATATAACTTTCCCTCTTAGCAGCTCATTTTGACATTTATTTCAGTTTAGAATTAATCATTCTTATTTCTTTGAGAAAGTATAATTGGCCACTTGTGCTTTTCAACTGGTATGACTGAAACTCTAACTATAGTACTTTATTTGAATTAAGGTCTATGTGCATATTTCTTTTACTGAATAGAACTTAAATTTATTGTACTAGATGCAAATGAGTTCTATAGCAAAAATAAAAATCTTACATCCTCAATTGTCATTTGTGAAGAGAAGAGACATCCTGATGCAGCTCTTCTGCAGTATTTTTGGCTTTTAACTGATTTGGCTAATAATTCCTTCCTACTTCTTGCATTAGGACTGCATTCCTCTGAGCACTTTGCTGTGGCTGTATACTGGTTAGGGACTAGAAATACTTAACTCCCATGTCCACACATATAACTCTTCCAGAATTTTATAGTCAGAAATGTGGATTCTAACCTGGCAGCTAGACACTAACTTAATTCTCATTTCCCTTCTGCAGTATATCTCAGTATCTCTATCTCTATCCATCTCTACCTCTATCTCTGACTTTATCTCTATCTCTGTCTCTATCTCTATAGATAAATATAACATATTTATATCCATTTGTATATATTCCTTTTTTGAATTTGAAGAGAAAATTATTTCTTTTGCTACTTGTCATGGATGAAGGCAACTCCCCAACTTGTCTCAAGCTATTGAAAGCTACTCTAGGGGGTGTGCAGGAGGCAGCCTATCAGTGATTCTCTCATCATTGATGTTTCTATTTGTCTCTCTCTCTTCCCTTTTCTCTCTGAAATCAATAAAAATATATTTTAAAAAATTAAAAATAAAAGACAGCTACTCTACTCAGTCTGGCATTCTAATTGGTCAGAGATCTGAGGTTCACCAGCCACATTTTTTTAGCCTCTAAGATTCAAAATTATTTCTCTGAGATTCAGTAGAGAAGAAAACTAGTCATTTCCTCTGCTAGACAAACAGCACCATTCACTGAGTGTTATGGAGTTATGTTGTTAGTTTATTCATGGCCATTTTTCATGGAAAGTGATAACATTATTAAACAGTTAAATTTTTGAGCTGGAGGGACCTCAGTTATGTCAGTCATAGTTCACTTTGCACATAATGAATGGGAGTCCCATGGACATGATATAAAATGCTGAAGACCAATGGTCTAGTTTGGAGACCCAAAAGTATAGAACTTTCAGGATAAATCAGTAAAGAAAAATGTTAGAATATTTTATGTGTCTTTTTGTTTTCCATGTTTCAGCTCAAAAGACCAACTGCTGGTTTGCTCTTCTGCCTGCATGGAATAAACTTAGTATTTCTGCTGTGAGACTGCCACAGGTTGGAGCAGCCCTTAGTCTTTCCAGGAATTATCACTTTCAAAAACTTGATTTTTCATGATTTTGATAGTTAAAAATATTTCTGAGAATAAAATGTCCAGGCCATTACACACACACACACGCACACGCACACGCACGCGCGCACACACACTGGGTTATATAGGGGTTTACTTTTGTAGGTCCTTCTGAGAGAGTTCAGTAACTAGAAGACAGAAGATTCCTCAGAGCTGAGTGGGGCCTTTGCATTTTTGTAACTGTGTTTGCAAAAGCCAGTAAGATTAGAAGGTTCCTTTCTCACATGACCTGTCTTTACAGTGTCCCTAAGTCTTTAGTAAATTATGTTGAACTATTTCATAATTGTTCCAAATGGTCAAATATCTGCAATGTCAAATAATTCCATGTAGTTACATAGCAGAAAATTTCTGGGGTCATAAGTAAAAAAAAACAAATCTTAAACAGATGATACTTAAGAGCCTTTCCATGTGATGTAGGAAATGATCAAGCACTTTGTATATGGGAAGAAGGGCAAATAAGCAAAATGGATGAGGTTATACCAGGCATTTACTTAAGTGTTTACTGGACTGACCCTTTTCTGATATGCAGAGCTTTAAATTAGAGCATCTTTTTCCACCACACAATACATTTTAAAAAGTCATCTTATATACAGCCACTCTCTACTCTCCCTACTCATACAGTTGAGCAGGAAGAGTAGAGAGATATAACCATGTGTTTCACAGATTCAAATAGTAACAAGTTTACTGTTGAGAAATTAAATATGGACCATCTAAAGATCTCCCTCTTCTAAAGTCACATACATATCCTATTTGGGTACTTCATTTCTCTTACGTATAAATTGATAACTGTGCATAGATTATCTATCAATTTTCTTACATTACCGAACAAAATCATTCATGGAACAAAAGTGTGCAGAACAGCTACCATGTGTTGGGTACTGGGATATAGGATTCTATCAGACTGAATTGGTTTCTGACCTATCTCTCAACCCAAAACAATAAAGGAAAATAAGGAATCTAAGGAGTTATTTAATTCAATGACTTGAATCATTTAATTCAAGTCAGTAAACTGAATAACAGGGTTACATATTTGTTTCAATGTTGGCATTTTAATGCATTGCTTTTTGTCTGTCTTACCTGAAGGATCTTATCGCCTGGCTGCAGCAGGTTGGATGCTGGTCCATCAGGCTGAACCCTAGTAACAAAGATACCCTATAAGTCAGAAGTAACAGAGGTTAGGATTCTATGATCAAGAACTAGGTCTACTCAAAAAACTTCTCATTCATATAAAATACAGTGAAAAAAGATTAAAAACTGTTTATACATGTAAACTTCAAAGATTATTATAGTATTTTAAATAAGGCACCACTCTCCAAGTCAACTTTAGGAAAATAAGATCTTTACTTGCATAAAAAAAGTTCATTTTGTTTTTAAAGTGTACTTATGATTTATAAATTAATTTCATTGCACATTCTTAATTTCTTTCTTAAATCATTTGAAATATGGCACTAACTGTATTTTGTACAGCTTCTGAAATTGTCTTGAGTTATTCTGCACTGAAAATGTCTCCCATTTGATATATTGTAAATTCAATTTGCACTTTAAAAACCTTACTACAATTACATATAAGTACTGGCTTATCTTAATGAATGTTACTTTGTATGTTATTGAGATTAGTAAATATAAAATGCATATGAACAAATTAAACATAAGAAAACTTCAACATGCATATAAAATATAAAGTGTATTTTACATAGTTACAAAACTTCTCTATTGATTAATTTAGTTTATAAGAGTCAAATTTAAAATAAAAAAATCTTTATTGCTGAAAGTATTACATATGTCTCTCCTTTTTCACCATTTACCCCTTCTAGCCTGCCCCTGTTCACCACACTATTGTTTGTGTCCATGGGTTATCAAATTAAATTTTTTGATCATATATACAAAACAAAAACATTCACATGCTAGGCCTTGACTGATTGCTAGTGTTATAGAGATATACAGAATATAGTCTTCAATGAGCTCACAATATAATGGAGAAAAAGTCAAGAAAACCACTAATTACAAAGAGTACAAGTGTTATGAGAGAAGTACAATAAATTATCAAAGACGTTGCACCTAGCTTTTCCTTAGTGTGTTGGGGCTTCTGAAAGGAGGACATACCTGGCAGCTGAATCATGGAGGACAAATAAAATGCATCCACAAGGATAAGAGGAGGAAGGGTATTCCAGATTGCAGGGATACCACAGAGGATAAAGTGCCTGTTACATTCAAGAAACTGCAAGTAGTTCTATTATGACTGGCATGGTGGTGGAAGGGTGCCAGTGCATGGGGTTGGGAGCCTGGGAGAGAATCAAGCTACAAAACACATTGGGGCCAGATGAAGATGGACCTTTAATAGACATGCTAATTAGTGTGGGGAGCTACTGAAGTATTTTAAGTATGATAGTGACAAGATCTGAAGAATGAACTGATGAATGGATAACCAAAAGGTGTATATCAAGCATGTCAAACTCGCGACCCACAACGAATATTTTTGTGGCCCAGCCAATATAATGGTATGTAAGAAACATTTTAATAAAAATGTCATAACTTAAATTTTACAATATCCTGTTATACATAATTATTAATAACGAACTACAACGTTCGCTAATGACTAATTACTATAATTGTGTTGCATTCATTTTCCTTACACACCTTACATGCAGGCACACCATTTTTCTCCACTAATACTAGCAGCAAATATTTTAGCAGCCGATTGCCATGTCATTAGTCTTGGACTGACTTGTTTGGTGGAAATATTTCGCTTTCAGAGAACAAGAAAAATAGGTTTATTTGCATTACACTTATTAATTTGTGCAGTTATTCAGTGTCTGGTAAGTTAAGGTTCAAGAAAAATATTAATTTTTATTAAAATGTTCTATTATTTTATGTTAACAATTATTTATTTCAGCCCTTTGTATTCAACATGTCTCTATCGAAATAAACCCACGTTTTTATGAAAATTGAAGCTTTTCTTGTTTTGCGGCCCACATAAACTTCAACCTTGTTTATTTGGCCCATGTTAGCTTTTGAGTTTGACATACTTGCTATACACCTATTCAGTGGAATATTATTTGTCAGTAGAAAGGAAGGATGTTCTGGCAATATGGATGAACCTTGGAAACATTATGCTAAGTGAAAGAAGCTGGTCACCAAAGGCCATACATATATTATATGATTTCACTTATATGAAATGTCAAGAATAGGCAAATGCATAGAAAATGAAAGCAGATTTGGTTTTCCAAGGGCGGGGGAGCAGGGGCCTTGGGAGTGACAAGGTGTACAGAGTTTTTATTGAGTAATAAAAAAGTTCTGAAATCAGATAGTGGTAATGGTTGTACAATTCTTTGAATATGCTAAAAACCACTTAATTGTATACTTCAAAAGGATGAATTTTGTAGCATGTGAATTAGACCTCAATATAACTGTTATTGTTTCTTTTAAATTCTTAAGAACTATTAATCAAATAGAAAACAATCTTTTAATATCCTTGCCTATTATTTAGAAAATCATCTCATTTGCTGATCCGTAAACCTAATGACTCTCACTTAAACTCATTGCAGTTGAGTATGTGTGTATGTAAATGGTTTAACAAACAGACCCTAATTAAAATGCTTCTACATGTGTCTTCATTTAGGATTTCAGATCTTTAGGAAACATACTCATTTATGGCTTTCGAATGATTTTTATCTTTCTGATTTTATACTCTTTTCCTTCATATCTCTATATATAAAAGACTAAGTGACCATTACACTGGAACAACCGGAATGACCGGTTGCTATGAGGTGCACTGACCACCAGGGGGCAGACACTCAACGTAGGCGCTGCCCCCAGCCCATAGACCCCAATTGCCGATGGGGTCTGCTGGTCAACATCCCGGTCCCTCCCCCTGGCCAGCAGGCCCTGATCACCTAATCAGGGCCAGGCCCCCAGGCTGGGAAGAGGAACTGGAGGTGGGTGGTGGTGGATGTGGGTGGTGAGGGAAGGAGGAGGCGGGGAGGCGGGGAGGCAGGGATCCTGATCGGCCCTGATCACTGGCCAGGCCTAGGGACCCCACCTGTGCACTTATTTCATGCACTGGGCCTCTAGTTTAAGATGAAACTACGGATTGGCATCAAAATCCCTAGAAAATGACATAACTTCAAATCTATTAATTCAACTTCTAGAACTTATCTTAAGGAAATAATTGAACAAATATGCAACATACATTTATGATATGTTCATCATAGTAGTATTTGTAACAATAACATTACAAACCACACCTAAATGTCTAATAACAGGGGATTGATTAAATAAGTTATGATAAATTCATATCTACACTAATAAAGAGAAAGATGCAAATTAACCATCCCCCCATCACTCCACTACACCCACAAGCCACGCCCACCAGCCAATCAGGAGCAAGTATGCAAATTAACCCAACTAAGATGGTGGCAGCCACAGAGCTGGAGCGAGTAGGAGGCTTGGGTTGCCCCTGGCGATGGAGAAAGAGAAGCTTCCCGCCTGCTCTGGCCCGCCCTGGGCTCCGCTCAAGGCTACAAAGTTTCAATTTTAGAAGATAAATAAATCCCATAAAAAAAAAGAGAAAAAGGAGAAGCTGGGAGCTTGGGTCACCAGGGGGCTGTGGGCAGCCTGAAAACAGCCCTCAGCCCCTCACCCTGGCTGGCCACCCCCCCATGGGTTGAGGGTCCCCGCTGGGGGGCTTGGCCAGCTAGAAAACAGCCTCAGTCCCTCACCCAGGCTGGGCAGGCACCCCAGCAGAACCCGCACCCTGATCTGGGACACCCTTCAGGGCAAACCAGCCAGCCCCCACCCATGCACCAGGCCTCTATCCTATATAATAAAAGGGTAATATGCAAATTGACCCTAACAGCAGAACAACTGGGAATGACTGGTCACTATGACACACACTGACCACCAGGGGGCAGACGCTCAATGCAGGAGCTGCCCCCTGGTGGTCAGTGTGCCCCCACAAGGGGAGCTCTGCTCAGCCTCAAGCCAGGCTGACGGCTGCCAGCACAGCGGTGGTGGTGGGAGCCTGTCCTGCCTCCTTAGCAGCGCTAAGGATGTCTGACTGCAGCTTAGGCCTGCTCCCCGCTGGCAAGTGGACATCCCTCGAGGGCTGCCGGGCTGCCAGAGGGATGTCTGACTGCCAGCTTGGGCCCAATCCCCCAGGAGCAGGTCTAAGCCAGCAGGTGGACATCCCCTGAGGGTGTCCCAGACTGCAAGAGGGCACAGGCCAGGCTGAGGGACGCCCTCCCCCGCCCCGAGTCCACAAATTTTGTGCACCGGGCCTCTAGTAATATAATAATATGTGGTCATTAAAAATGAAGTCCTAGATGGCAGGAACAGAAATACACTAGTGCTCAGTGAAACAAGCAGTATAAATCACTATGTGGAGGATGAAACTACAGGGTGGGGCAGAAGAAGTTTACAGTTGTGAGTACATGAAAGTTTATCCTTTATTGTTTTCCATATAAACAACTGTAAACCTATCTTTGCCCCACCCTGTATGTTGGCTGAAATATGTTTACATGTATTTTTGTGTGGGAAAATATCTGCAAAGCTAGACTTTTAAACATTAATAGTGGCTGTAGTGGGAGACATCTTAGGGGGTGGGGATTTTTTTCTGCCTGCCACATATTATAAGCAGCAGATGAAAGCATAACTCTTCAGTCAGACTGTCTGTGTTCATCATTTATAAATGGGTGACCTTCAGAAAGTTAATTAACTTTTGTGTACCCCACATCAGTAAAATGGGTACAATAATGGTATAGTGACTCATTAGATTAAGTGAGTGAATATATACAAAATACTTAGAGCAGTGGATGGCACTTAAGGTAAGGTCAATAAATATTATTATAATATTGGGAGTCTGGAGTTAGAACTATAATCCAAGGTCTTTTATCCAGTGAAGTCCACATTGAGCGTGCATGAGTCTCCAGCTACACCATGTTTATTGCCAGGAAATTTCTCTTTGCTCTCCAGCTGGAGAACATTGAAAGCCCAATGTCTGTTATTGTCCCCTTGCACTAGCCACAGGTAAGAGGATTTGCATCTCTGATTTAGGAAAGGGGGTGTGAAGAGGGTGATAAGTTCCTCCTCTCCTAGCTCATCTGTGGTTTTCTAGTGGTGACTCTCAGAGGTAGTGACTCCAACTATTGTTCATG